GGCACTGAGCTTTTCACAGTCATACGAAAACTGCTCTATTGAACGAGGCAAGTATAGTAATGTATTACCTGTACATGCGATTCTAAAGTAAATCTTCTTTTCRTGGTATTTCCATTTGGACATCTGAATGCTACTGTTACAGTCTGGATAAAGTTAGATAGTAATGTAAAATTTATTTGAATGTAAGAAAAACACCCTACCAACAATGAGGCCCTATCACCATCTATCAACTTCAAAATCCTACCCACAATATCTATCTGTAAACACTCTATCACCCATCTACACCCTAACAGAAACCTACAGTGAATAAATAAAAATAAGTAAATAATGAGATTAACAGTGGATTCCACAGAGTGGCCTTTCTTCCACTGGATTCCAATTGGAATTTAGGAGTTGATTTTTACGGAAGGAGGAAAGCTGGAGAACCCGGAAAACCCTTGAAGCACAGGAGAGAACAAACAAACAACTCTACTCACATATGACACCAATGGAGGGGCTCAAACCCGGGTTACATTGGTGAGAGGCAAGCACTCTCACTGCTACATCAACTGTGCTTTCCCAGTGCTCTACTGTACATGTATGTAGCAAGACCCATCAAGATACTAGGACAAACACKCTCACTGCTACACCAACTGTGCTTCCCCAGTGCTATATTGTACATGTAGCAAAACCCATCAAGATACTAGGACCAACACTTGCAAATAGCCTGTACCTACAATCCACTGACACCCAACCAACAACATAATATTTTATTCTGAAAAGCCTTAAAGAGGACGAATAAAGTATGTATGTATGTATGTATGTATAATAGCCTCATCCTACTAATCTCCCCCTCCCCTTTAACACTTTACCTAAAATTTAATCATTAATTTTTAGTAGATTGTGTATTACTCATTCAGCACAAGAATGCAGTTGATCCAATACTTACTCCTGGAGTGYCAATAGCTGGCTCCTCTGGGACAAAATTAATTTTTTGTTCCTGAAATTACAAACATTTACTTGAATGAGTTCCAAAAAACTCAATATCAAAAGTCGAATAAGTTATTCATTATTTACTGTGATTGCATTACATGTGTACCTCCAGTATTTTGTCCAGTCACAAAAAAATTATATTAAGTAATTATTAGTCCTCAAATCCAACTAGTCGGTCAAATATAAAGATGTAATCAATGTTTTGAATTAAGATTAAATTAAATGTTTTGTTTTGTTTTTCACCACTAGTACAACCGTTCGTACAACCTGATATAGCTTGTAATAGGTCATCCAATCAGAATGCAGCATTGATGATTATAGACTAGTAATAGGTCATCCAATCAGAATGCAGCATTGATGATTATAGACTAGTA